GTAATAAAGGACGATAACAGGAAATTAATAAATTTTTTTTAATTTTCTTCAAAAACAAATTAAAATGTTTGTTATTGTATTTTAATTTTGGAGTTTAATAATAAACTCTGCAGTTTCAAGTTTTAATAATTTATTTTACAATTATTATATTTTAAAAAATAGCACGATATTTCACCGATGAATACAAATTACATTTCTGTAACTATAATTTTCTGTTTTTTATTAATTAATAAATAAATATTATACATAAGTAATAAACTATTTATTTAATTTATGTAAACATTTCATATTTACTCTATTTCTGAAAAAAAAATTCTACAATGATAAAATATTTTATCTTTAAAATTTTGTAAATTATCTATTTTAATTAATGTATAGCTTACGATAAATAATAATCTTATTCTAGCATTTAAAATATATATGAAAAGGCTTTCGCTTTATCAGTTTGTATATCGTTCTTATTAATAATTCTCCGAATTTAGTCTGACAAATGTTCTCCTTGCGAACGTTTCCTGTTTGTATCCGGTAAAGAAAAGGAAATCATTATTCTCCATTTCCACTATTGAAGTAAAAACGACAGACTAAAGAAATATGTTAAAAAGGATTTATTTAATATGTCTTCTTCTTATTCCCGTAAAACTGCAAGGTAAGACAATTTTTAATGTAATTAAAATACATTTCTTTCTTTTAATTAACATAAATAAATAAGTATATAAGGAAAAATAATATATATTAGTTTCCTCATATATTTAGCTATTTGCTTTGTATATGATTAGTTATTTGTGTTTATACGTTCTAATAATAATTTTAAAGAATACGCGTAAATTGGTTTATAATGAATAATTTATTCTTTAAAAATAGAGGAATAAAACATGTATTATTATAAATTTAAATTTAATCACTTTATCATTAAAATTAAAAAACAAAAACGCATATTCCACCAACATAATAGTTTCGTGTAAAGCTATAGATATATTGTAGCGTCAGAATATTGTACTGTATTATTAGATTCATTCAATCTTTAATACAATTACACATTAACTTGCATTAATTTGGTTTAGTTTATATGATAATGATATCAGAATTTATTATTTAAAAATACAATATATAAGACGAATGTATTGTACTAAGATACGCACTC